GAGGGAGGAGGAGGGGGGACGGAGGAAGTAAGGAGGAGGGGGAGGAAGTGAGGAGGAGGGAGGAGGAGGGGGAGGAGGGGGGACGGAGGAAGTAAGGAGGAGGGAGGGAGGAGAGTACACGTAATAACTGATTGTTTCAATTTGACTATACATTCAACAGAGTCTACTTCATTGCCAAACATATCTACAGTGAAAACAAACGCACCACGTAAGTATAATATAAGGAAAATGTTTAAATTTTTTATTGTTTAAAATTGACTATACATTCAATAGATTCTACTGCATTGCCTAACATATCTACAGTGAAAACAAGCGCTGCACGTAAGTATGGAAAATCTTTGATCAGAAAACAACATCAACTGACAAAAGAAAATCTATGTCAATAATAACAAAACGAAAGGCAAAACAGTCAATAAATGAACTTTTCGCTCTGAAGAATTTTTTTATGGCTATGAATTCATGAATATGAATTTAGTATATTATATAATGTCGAAATTTCGAAAGTATTTTCGTTCTGGCAGAATGTGGTGGGAGCATAACTAGTCCAAGAGGATCGCTGACGTCACCCAACTATCCCGAGCCTTATCCAAGTGAAACTCAATGCAAATGGATTATAAAACTCCCAGCTGCTTACAATATGATTAAGATTACCATCGACACAATGCGTCTTGAACAAGATCGCAACTGTTTGTAAGTATTACAATGCTAATGATTGTTTATCGGCAGCCGTTAAATGCAATGATTTGATGCAGACTGAAAGTAGTCATTTAGATTGTGATTACGCGTTTTCTTATTCCTCTCGCCTTCTCCTCAAGCTACGACTACGTAATGATTGTGGATAAGATGCTGAATCAAGTTGGTCCTCGTCATTGTGGAACATACCGCCAACCGTATGTGATTCCCGTGAGAGGAAACGAAGCATCGATTGTCTTTGTATCAGACAAGAACACAAGCAAGCAGGGTTTTACACTCACTTATAAAGGACTGGTGAGTAAAATATTGATTCCTAGTGATGCCATAGGTAAACTTTTAACGCTCAACGCAAAATTTAATGAATATTGAATGTTATTAAAATACTTATTTTCTATTCTCCAGATGACATAAACAGACGACTTTGAAGAGACTGTATTATTGAGCATGCGTGTACATTGAGCATGTGTCATGTCGCCTATCCCACATGGGAGTACTATAAATGGGATATATAAACACTCATCTTGTTTATATCTACTGACCGAAAAGTGAAATTTTACATGACTTCACACACTTTGACAAATACAGCACAATTATATTCAGAATAACTGTCATAATATAACGTTATGGCTTAATAAACGGTCCAAAGATTCATATATAAATCAATATAAATTAGACTTGCCTTCAATAATCTTGATTCATCAAACAGTGTAGACCATATTTCATAGTATATACAATCCTGTAATAAAAACAGTACAATGGTTTGAATCAATCATTTTAATGAATGTGTAACAACTCTTGAAATTAAAAATATGGTGTCTTTACAAGCACAACCCCTCTCTTTTGTCCTTGGAAAGTGTATGGGTCGGGGAAGGGGATCGTGGAGGAGGATCGTGGATCGTGGGAGAGGATCGCGGATCGTGGATCAAGGAGAGCAGACTATTTAGACATTCAAGCGATTATAGTTTTGACCCAACCGGCCTAAACTGCTGTGAAACAGACAATAGGGAACTTCAGATTTGGCAACGAGTACGAGATTGAGTACGAGTACGAGTTTTCAAACCAGCTTTTTGTTGTGTTGTCCATACCGGATTTCAATCCACTTCATGTTTTTATTTCTTTGATCTTTCAATCTACTCGCAGGAATGCAATTCATGATTAATAGCATACTTAAGGCCAATTTTAAAACTCGTACTCGTATTCAATCTCGTACTCGTTGTCAAATCTGAAGTTCCCTAATAAAAGGAATTCATCCAACTGCGGCATAATCCGCGATTATGTTTTCTTCCTCACTGGGCCCCAGCGGTACTTTTAAATCTCAATTCTCCACTTCAATCCTATTGGTTAGAAATTCTATCTTATGTTTCTAATGAACGTCATGACCTCACAGAACTTTGCGGTAATACTTCTCATTGTGGAGCGTTCAAGAAAGCAGAAAGCTTAATTAGGAATAGCGTTGAAAAAATAAATGCACTCCTTGGAAATCTACATCATTTTATAAGGTTGGTAAATTCCAATGMCTAGTAACCTTGATTAAAAGTTGCTTCCGTGCACAGCAACGATACAGTTGCCGTTTTCAGAGATCAGATYAGCTCGAAAGATGTACATGTCCAACAAAAGTACACGAAAAACTTCTTCAAAAGCTTGAATATAAATTCCTTTTGACGCAATCATTCTCTTTATCTGTAATAAGTTTACTTAAATCCAATAATGATTTGACTAAATGGCGGTTAAATAACGTGCCGTTTATCCCAATACTAATACATACTAGGAGTATATATGTCTTTGATTGGAAGGCCGGAAATTGTTAAATTGAGCAAATTTACCGCAATTGTTTCAGACCAGTAAAGAGTGGTAACAGGCAGAATTTGCGAAGCTCATAACTTTCAAAAACGCGAAACTGAAAAACTATGATGCGTTACAATTATTTATACAGCTTTATAATGGTTATCTGTTTATAGGAATATAACTATATAACTCATTATTTCTCAAGAGAATCGATGATAAAATTACTTATTTACGTCAATTGCCTTGAAATATGCATGACTTTGAACCTAAAATTGACCAAAACTATTATTGCAATGCAACAAGATGGATTAGCGGCATGTTTAGACGTGCATAGGAGACTTCTGGTCCCTCGCCAGAAAACAATTTCTTTACGTCAAAAAAAAAGTTTCTACGTGGGCGTGAATGCTGGGAAAACCGGATTCGTTTTAGTTGTTTGAATGCGTCAGGAAGTCCTTTTTATGGTGCAACTCGGATGTCATACCGTATTGAATAGRGTTTTAGTATCTTCAACTGTATAGAAACAGTGGTAGACGTCCTATACTTGCGAGATTCAAGCCGTCTGAACGTCCCATGTATGAGGGCATAAAGATCCCTGGATATTCCTGAGACATCCGGTCCAACTTTCCAGTTTTAGATACCTCATAACAATCATGAGTGTATAAAATCCTGAAACATCTGGTCTAGCATTTTTTTAACTCTTTTTAGAAACTACTTTTAGTGTAAGCCTCGAGTAAAGAGATAAAGTCTGAAAAGGAAAGTAAAAACCAAAATTCAAGAATTGAAGCTACATTTTTCCTAAAGGCTGAATGGTGAAAACTGTACATTGATGTATTGTTGCTTCTAAAAGCAGCACGACTGTATTAAGAAGTTGATAGGTCAGGTCTAAGAGGGCGCATTACTTCATTCATATACACGGTTTCTTTGAGCTGAGATCACAGAGATAACACCATCACAGATAAGACCTGTGAGTCTCGTGTTCTCTCGGCAATGCWTGATTTCACAATAAAAGATAAAAACTTTGCTTTTTTAGTCAACAGGAAATAGAATATGGACGGTGCAAAAGGGATGCTCGTTCTTGTCGTGTTTTTGATGCTGAAAAGTTATTCCAAAGGTAAGAAAACACGCGTTCTTTTGGTTCACAGAAAAAAATGAAAAATGAGAAAATAAAGTGGATAAATGAATAAACGGTGAATGAATAGGAGAATCGAATGAACTACTATAAAGGTATTATGTAATACATGAAGAAAAGACCTCAGGCCGCTTGTAGTAATTCTCTCCATAGATTTTGCATAGAGTCCTCAAGTGGTGACATCATATCACGTGTTTCCTACCAACGAAAATTTCGGCTCTAAACAAATGGCTCATGGTTTCAAGTTTAAACCGCTGCATAACCTGTTGATAGACACAGCCACAGATTTGCTCATCATTAATTGATGATGATGATGATGATGATAAACTTGTCATGATTGTCGTTATGTGTCAACCATTTCAAGTTTTGTTTATTTGTTTGTTTGTTTGTTTGTTTTCTTGTTCTCTTTCGTTGCAAAAGGAATTCTTTGACTGAGTTTGTTTTCTTTAGGTTTGCCGACCGTTCCGTCTAGATGCGAGGAGCTTGTAACACCCATGTGTAAAAGTTTGGGATACAATTACACAGCAATACCGAACATCCTTGGACAAAGAAGTCAACATGAAGCAGCACTTCGACTTTATCAATTCTCCCCTCTCGTTAAAATTGGTTGTTCGCCATATCTCCGTCAGTTCCTATGCTCAGTCTATCTTCCTATGTGTAAATCGGACGGTTCATCGTTTCTTCCATGCCAATTTCTCTGTGAGCAATCCTTAAAAGAYTGCTCTAGGATTATGGGAAGGTTTGGATTGACGTGGCCTAACTCACTGAATTGTTCTAAGTTTCAGGATAGCCCAGGAACATGTAAACGTACTGGAAAGCAATCTGGAATTGGTAATGGTGGTGTATAATTATACAATAGATTAAATTAGTAGAATTTCAAATTCGCTAGTGCCGGTAGGTAGCCAAATATCTCCTCTGTGCTGATAGGAAAGGTGCCCAAGGGTCACCTKGACACTTTCAGATCCTCTATGCTTCCTTTCTTGCATATAGAGGCTACGTATTGAATTCCAAGCAAATTGGCACTTTAGTACCTCGATTTCACTTGAATGAAACCGCTCATTTGATTCATTTCCAGATGGTGGTCATGAGTGACCATCATGAGCAAACGATCAGATAAAGGTTCTTTTGAAAGCTTTTTTTCCCTCAGTGATCAAATATATATATAAAATTTGTTATACAGATAGTCAAAGTTATTCGCCTTCAAACAGTTCAAACCCACAAGATGGTGATGATGATGATGATTGTAAGTGATTATATACAGCATGATGTTATCTTAACCGTTTTACGCCACATCCATCACCGTTACGTTCTACATCATCTGTATTTTATAAGCAAAATGGAAATAAACTGGACAGTCAATTAGCCCGGATACCAAGTTTAAATCTAGAAACGAGGGATTTTTAAAGAGTTTTCCTTGGATTTTATAAAGCATTTCCGTTTATGCAAGGATCCCTAACAAGAGTTTTACTCCTTTTTCAGTCACTGATGAATCTGGGTCAGGAGAACTTCAAGGTGAGGAAATTCTTCCATGTTCCATCATTGCCGCCTTCCTGTTTATTCATCTAACATGGGGTAGTTTTGTTATTTCTTTTCGTCATGCGATTGCAACCGCGGGGAATTATAAAAGGACTGGTAACTTTGACGTTGTCTGCCATCTTTTCCCTTTTAAATTCCATGTTTTCATTATGTGATTTTCAATTTCTGTTAGAGCCAAATTCATGTTGTTATAACGCCTCTAGGGAACTTTTTATTTTTTGTATTTAAGTAAGTGTTTGTAAATTCGTAATCAGTCTTCATCGTCTAAGTATCGAGCAGAGTTTGTTGTAAGTATATTTTCCTTTGTTGTAAGCATATCTTTATTTCTTGTAACCTTTAGTTTTGTAATCTTGTAACCTTCAGTTTACCGTRTAACGAATGAGTAAAAACCTCTGAACTGTACCCTGGTGTGTACAATTTCTTTCAGTCCCTTCGCCTGTGTTACCAAGATGCGAACGTCTTACAATACTGCCTTGTACAAAATTATACAACACGACAATTCTACCAAACTTCTTCAACCACACGAACCAATATGAAGCAGCACTCCAGTTGGGTCAGCTGTATCCTCTTGTATCGGCGAGCTGTTATAAATACATCGCGGAGTTTTTGTGTTCACTCTACGCTCCAAAGTGCAGACTAAATGGATTTCTCCCACCTTGTCGATCATTTTGTGAAGAAGCCAAAAGAGGCTGCCTGCCCGTAATGTCCGAATTCGGGCTTAGTTGGCCAGCTGCACTTAATTGCTCAATGTTCCACAACAAATCGGGGGGAGCATGCGTTGGAAAACCATCTGGTGAGTTGTTTATAACGGTTATATTATAAAATGCGATCAATGAATGATGGTATCACTGTGCGTCAAGGGCGGATACAGGATTTTCCTCAGGGAGGGGTACGGAGCTCTCAGGAGAGGGTGAACCCCACAAAAATCATTACCATGAAGATACAAAATAAGGAAAGTATTGAAGGATACAGATCTCAGGAGGGGGTGTGCGCACCTCCTGCACCCACCGGCTGGATCCGCCCCTGTGCGTGTTCCCAACTTCATTCATTTTTTCAGTTATCCTTTTCTTCATCCTTCTAATAAGACCTTTTTCTTTCACTTGCTTGCATAGCTCCATGGACTCCACAACCTAGATGTGAAAAGATGACAATACCCCAGTGTCAAGATCTGGGATATAACTATACATCTGTGCCAAACTTCTTCAACCAATCCACTCAGAACGAAGCAGCACGTAGTATCGGTAAACTTTACCCTCTTGTAAGTATTGGCTGTTCCAAATACCTTAAGAAGTTCTTATGCTCGCTCTACGCCCCAAAGTGCAGGGCAAATGGTTTTCTTCCTCCGTGTCGATCTATATGTGAAGAAGCTAGAGAAGGTTGCCGTCACCTACTCTACAAATTTGGGTTTCGTTGGCCAGCCACACTGGATTGCTCACAGTTTCATAACAGAAGAAGAGGACCATGCATTSAAAGATCATCTCGAAGCAGTAAGTCACTCCTCCCACACAAGTACGTGTACTGATCTCWAATAAGTCAAAAGATAACGACAAAGACAACAGGGACAACACCAAACAGTACAAATAGTCACTGAAATGAAAAACTCTATAATAAATCTAWTTATACTTTTGATAGGATCCACAGCAAAACCATCGTCCAGTCCGATGTCTGTTCCTACCACTAACCAACGTGAGATACTTATACCCGTGTTGGATTTATTACTCGGCTATTGTACTCAACAAGTAACACACACAATTATGAAATTAATAATATTGCCTGTCCATTTTTTTTTTTTTTTTTTATTATTTATTTACCAATACAGCCTGCCCCTCACAAACTATTCTTTCAAAAACCCATTCTTTCTTTTTTTTTTTTTTTTTTATTATTTATTTACCAATACAGCCTGCCCCTCACAAACTATTCTTTCAAAAACCCATTCTTTCATCCATTCATTAATCCATTCTTTAGACATCCCTTTATCATGTAAATCTTCCATTTTTTCATTCATTCATTCGTTCAGTCTTTGTTTCACGTTGTTATTCATCTATTTGTATTATATTTACTCAGCTCGACCGACTAAACAATYTAGATGTAAACCACTCAACGTACCAATGTGCAAAGGACTGAGGTACAACTACACTGTCCTACCTAACTTTCTCAACCATGAAAGTCTGAGAGAAGTACGTACCAATATCAATATATGGCGCCCTATCATGAAGACTGGTTGTTCCAATTACCTAAAGCAGTTCTTATGTACAGTTTACGCTCCTCCGTGTACTGTAGTTGGTGTTCGACTTCCTCCATGTCGATCTATATGCGAAAAAGCGCAAAGAGAATGCAGTAGCGTACTGTCTAAATTCGGGTTAAGTTGGCCATCTGACCTGAATTGCTCACTGTTTCCTTATAGASGAAAAGGCTTAGTTTTTTGYATTGACATGTCATCCGGAAGCAGTAAGTTATTGTTCATATTATCAGTGAATAAACAGGTGCAGACCTAGTTTTTTTTGAATGGGGCCTTGCAAAGTTAGACGGGTGGAGTGATATATAGATCACTGAGATAGTGAGACTAGTTTCGACTTCAAAATTTCTTTGGTTGGCGGGCAAGTACCAACTGAACTGTTGGATTCCCAACTGAAAGTGACTCTAAATCTTATGAAAATGATARCATTATTAATCATTGTTATTAATTATCACCTTTTTTGTTTGTTTGTTTCCTTTTTCTCTATGTAAAAGACCTAATTAATGTGGTATCTGATTAGTAAGATGCTGCCATAAGTACCTAACAAATAACGCGCAGTAGTGTTAATCAAATCTACCACTTTCATAGGGGGGTTGCAACCCMCTCAACCATCCCCCTACATCCGCCTCCACAACAAACTGATAACAAACTTTGATTACTAAAAAACGACAAATAACGATTGGTTTGCTTGGAAATAATACTATTTTGCTCAAAAACCTAATAAGTACATATTAATTTAAGAATTACGATGTAAGCGCTACTTCAACCTAAAAGTTATTTATTTTCTTTACGATGTAAGCGCTACTTCAACCTAAAAGTTATTTATTTTTGTCGAGCTTTCGGCTCACCGAGCCATTATCAAGACTGAATGAAAAACGTTACATTTTACAAAACAACATAAAAACAATGAGCGCGCGCTCTGAGAAGATCTAATAAAWAAATAACTTTTAGGTTGAAGTAGCGCTTACATCGTAATGAATAGACCAACCTACAACCATTTAATTTAAGAATATTGTACTGAACAAGGATAACGGAGTGGCATCATTTATAAATGGATGATTTTAAGAATCAAAAACTATGTTTCTTTGACTAATAGAATCCACGATAAAGCCACCATCCAGAACGACACCACGTAAGTAACATCTGTAAACTAGTTTATACCRGTTTTACAAGAATCCATTCAATAATAACAAAAACAGACCATATAGACAATGATAGTTTATACTCTGATAAACGCACGCTTGGAATTTGAAACACACAAGAAAATGTCAAGAAGCACAAGCTGAAAGCGTTTATACTGGTTTATACTCTCATAAACCACACTTTTTAGCCAATCAGAGTGCGTGTTAGAATTCATCTATATAATAAAGTATTTTAACGTAATTTCTTTATTGTACGGGAATTTCACTTCGTAGTTTCAGTTTTTATCCTTTATGAATCAATTTGGTATTGGAAGAATTAAAGATATTATTTTTTATTATACCGATTATAGATGGTCAAATATAATAGCTATATCAATTTTTTCYAGGGTATGGTGGCAGTCTAACAAGCATTCAAGGAACACTSACCACGCCTAACTATCCAAACCAGTACCCGACTGATGCTCATATTACCTGGAWAATTACACTTCCACCACCKTACAACATGGTTGAGATTTCTWTTAATGACATGCAACTTGAAGAGGACCGCAACTGTTTGTAAGTATTGGAATATTCATGGCGATGCATGAGAAATAATGATCAAAAAATCAAA